TATATATCCTATACCCAACTAACAAAGTTAAGCATGGTTTCCATTAAAATCGCTACACGGTGTTACCAACACCTTTGGCAACGCTGATTGGTCAGTTGCATCAAGGAGCGTTCCCGATTGCGTCGGGGACCGATACGCAGATCAAAGATTGCAGTGAAAACCCTGTAGCGACAGTGTAGCGATTGTATGGAAACCGAGCTTCACACAATCTATCTAAATTTTCATTGCATGTGAGTGACATACTTTAACATTTTTGCAGTACACAGCATCGGAATCCAGTCTGATGCAGAGCCTGTTCCAGGATAGATACAGCGGTAGCTCAGCAAAGGTCCCAAGTACTGTCTTAGCAAGGTAGGCGCTCATTTAAGCCTGGTTTCCTTAAAATCGCTACACTGTCGCTAACAATCGTTGTACTGCGTAGCAGTCCCCGACGCAATCGGGAAGGCTCCCCGATTTGACCGACCAATCAGGATCACCCAAAGTTGTCGGCGATAGCGTGTAGCGATTTTATGGAAACCCAGCTTTTTTATACATAGTTGTTAACCTGGAAATTAAATAAGCCATGTTGTAGTCTAAAATGCTCATGCCCGTATCACAATAAACATAAATTTAACGCTGTGTGCATGTGATAAGCCATGTTGTAGTCTAAACTGCTCATGCCCTTATCACAATAAACATAAATTTAACGCTGTGTGCATGTGATAAGCCATGTTGTAGTCTAAACTGCTCATGCCCGTATCACAATAAACATAAATTTAACGCTGTGTGCATGTGGCGTATGTTTGTTTGTGTCGATTGACCTTAAAAAATTATTTAAATTTCATTGAAGGTCAAGACGAGTTTCTTACTGTGATGTACCCGACAACACCGCGAACAGGCGTACTGATGCATTCGCCCACTTTTTCAGTTTATTCAAGGAGCAGGATATAGATGAAAACGGCTATTTAGATTTTAAAACATTCAAGCATTTTATCCAAAAAGTAAGTTAAACTAATGAATGAATAAATGAATGAATGAATGAATGAATGAATGAATGATGATGATGATGATGATAATGGTGATAATGATGATAATGATAATGACGATGATGATGACGATGTTAATGACTGGAATTATAATGATGATGACGGGAGTTATGATGATGATTATGATAATGATAATGATAATGATATTGATAATGACGACGATGACGATGACGATGATACAAAGGCGGATCCAAAGAACAATCTGAATAGGAGTCATGCGACATGCAAACCAACAAGCGGGGGTGGTGTTTGACATCTAAGTTTATAAATGCTTGACATAAATGCTGATGCATTGGATTTAAATCAATAATTAGCTTGTTCTCTACCTTGATAATATGTAATTTATGTATTTTCATGTACATGTGCGACTATATACGGCTTGAAGTCATATATACTTGATAAGTTGGATTACCCAATATAACAAGCAAGAATGGTCCAATGGACATTTCCGGAATGTCAATCAAATTTAACAACTGACCAATCAGAACAGAGCCAGTTGTCACACAAACGCACGTGCTTGCGTATGTTTTAACACTCGTTTCGTGGAACCTTAGCAACAATATCCAAGGAGCGGGGTTTAGTGGAAAGGTCCATTCCTTTTCATCTGTCTCTTATACACAATATATATATATTCTAATATATACTTTGTTTGCAGAATAAAAGTTGTTCCGTTACAAGCGACTATGAACTACTCTTTGGAAAGAACATGTCAATTGACGAAGCCTTTGGTCTCGTAGACTCCAGTGGAAACGGAAAGGTAATGCAGCTTATATTTGGTCAATTTGTTTGTTTTTCTTTTTTTTTTCTTTTTTCTGTTTTAATATTGTGTATTAACTCTATATAAGATAGTGAGTATATGTACTGGTATACAATAGGATAATTTTAAGCGTTAAAGAAGAGGAGAGGAATCTGCGCTATTGGAGAATTGTAATTCAATAATAATAAATAATTAGTGGTAATAAAGAGAATAATTTTAACTTAATACTGATATATTTTTGTACTTTGTAAAATAATTAGCAGTGATTTGTGTGTGTGGGTGTGTGTGGGTGTGTGTCTGTGTGTGTGTCTTGTCTCTCATAAAAATATGAATGTTTATTTTTGTACATTTTTTATGTTTTATAGTTAAGTATAATCATTTGTATGTTTGCATTGCATTGTTGTTGTGGACTCGCTTGCTTACGGCCCAATAGAATTTTTGTGAGATTGTTTTTATACCAAATGAAAATAAATAAATATCGGTTCCGATTGGGGGAAACTAATATTGTCATTCTATTCTCTATGTGCGCTTGATAGCACTAAAAGTTACGGTACGGTACACATTTCCAATCGCGCACGTTCTTCCCTTCACATTTATTACATATTGCAGATTACGCTTTTTAATGTGTTTGTTTTTTTTAACCGTGTTAACAAATGTACGAAAATACGCCAGCATCCGCTGCTGGCGAGAGCTGGTGAAATAAATTCTATAGTAAGTTCCTTTATATCACTATTGTGGCTGTTTTTAAATAACATTAAAAGTACTGTAGTCCTAAGACATTTTGACTTCGTTGATACATTGATGTTACGGTAAGACATTTTAACTTAGCTGCTTGTCAACCATACATATGTGTAGGAAGGGGGGGGGGGTGGTATGTATAACGTTTGTTAATAGAACATTTTCTTTTATTACTCTTCAAGATTTCCCCATACGACTTAGTGCGATTCGCCGAGCAAAGGGGCATCCATGTGAACTCGCGGCTTCTGGGCTACGCACGCCAGGAGATCAATGATTTTAACGGATACATCAATGCCTTGTTTAACAGTGTCATGAATCATGCTATGAAAGAGTTTGTGAAGGTAAGAAAATCATTACATCCGTCTAGCAAAAGCCTAAAATGATAACACACCATTGCCCTACGTGTCGAAGTAAAGCGCAGTAGAAATCCCAGTGGCGCATATATTGCTATTGGAATGGGGAGGGGGACTTGGGGACGCGAGCTTTTTTTAGAGGCGTGTGAACCCTAGATACACCACTTGACAACCAACGGCACTATTGAAACTTGTATTTCAGCCCACCAGCTGAAACACAAAGAGAGAAACAGACCGAATTGAACCAGAAATTAAAAGGACACAACCTGCCACAAATTTATAACCGACTGATGTAAGCTGCTCTATGAGTAAAGGCCCATACAATGTGGGGAACTAAAAGCACGAAAGCAAAGCTATTCAAAAGTTTTTTTTTAAATGGCCATTATCACTCTTACTCTGTATGACATATATTTGTAGGATAATGATTACGATCGCACTATTGGAATCGATACAAGGTACATACGAGGAACAGATTTTTCAATCAAAGTTGGAGACAGAGATTTTTTATTTGAGGTGAGGCATTTAGGTATACAAAGTTAGGTCGATATATTTAGGCTTCATATAATGGTAATACAGTAATTAATATTATTTTGTTTCCATGCGCAATGCGTTTTCTTTAACATTAGCATCAGAGTCATTGTGCTGAATTTCATAAGGGCGTCTATGGTGCGCTATTCGGTTCTTGCACTGCAGTTCGATAAAAAGTTTCCTGACCTGCGATTGGCATAGATCTATTAAACAACTAGAGTGCTGACAAGATGGCGAAGCAATGCCATAGAGATATAATAAAACTACTAGAGCGCTAACAGCAATGTATTCGATGTTAGAAATACGCAGAGCTGTGTGTGTGTGTACCATCCAAGATGGCTGCCATAGATTCAGCCAATCAAATTTCCCCTAAAAAATAATACAAAAATTAAAATCGTGTACATTACACCCATACACCGTAACGCTCGAGTTTCAAACATACGGGTAACTAGCTGTACTGAATTTTCTCTGTAAATTGAGGGCGCCATTGAAAATGATAGTGCTTAGGCGAAACGGTGATTGGTCAACATTTACAAAGAGGGCGACAAACTCTCAGCAATTTGCAAATTTACTGCTGGACAATTCTTAGGAAAAATGCAATGGGTTCTTTTAAGTGCATATGAGCCAGGTGTGGCTTCTATTGTAAGTCCTTATCCGCGAGAAAACTTATTCTACCTTCGACCCCTGGACGAGGAGTGCCTGTTGATAGTAGTTCCTCTACCTACCGCTCGGCCATTTAACTTTCCCCAAACATTTCAATAATATTTGAATTACTCAGTTTAAGTAATATAAATTAATTTTTTCCGTTGGACTGACGTCATAAATATTGTACGTTTTGTTCTCTCGTTAAAATTACTCAATCGCCTGATCATTCATAACATTCACTTCTTCCACCTCGACGATCTTCCTCCATCACATTATAATATTACGTAATTCTGCTTTCCAGCCTTCTCATGCTCGAACTTCTGGATTTCACACCTAATTTTTTCCATTTGCTCTTTGCCTTTCATAGAACCTCGCTCTTGATCCCACCAGATCATCTTCTTCTGACTAGAACCGCTCTTCTTATGTAGGCCCATAGAGATAATAATAAGAATACTAGAGCGCTAACTGCAATGCTTTCGATGTTCGAAATACGCAGAGCTGTGTGTGTGTACCATCAAAGATGGCTGCCATAGATTCAGCCAATCAAATTTCACCTAAGCAACATCGTTTGCAATTGCGCCCTCAATTTACCCAGAAAGTTCAGTACAGCTAGTTACCCGTATGTTTGAAACTCGAGCGTTGCTGTGTATGGGTGTAATGTACACGATTTTAATTTTCATTCCTTGGTACTTTATTTTTGAATAAGATGCTCCACTTGGCCTCGTTTTGGCTACAAATGTTTAATAATTTGTTATTACCATTGCTCATTATCAATGATGAAATAATAGTCAGTCAGAGGGCTTATTTATGGTAATAATATGTATATTAAGCCTGAAGGTGGCGCTTTACTACGACGGCCATCTTGGATGGTACGCATACAGTACATAACTCTGCATTGCTTCGCCATCTTGTCAGCACTCTAGTTGTTTAATAGCTCTATGTGTAGGCCCTAATTATATCTAAGCTTAAAATTACAGCTGGTACCGGTATATATTTATTGTTGTATTATATTTATTGTTAAATATTGGCAGGAAAATAACATTATTATAAGCTATAATAATCCTATGGTGTTACATATTTATTTTATATGATGTGTAATACGGTATGATATAGGCCTATATTAGATATATGATGTGCTGTAATGTATTAAATGAAGTGTGATATAGGCCTATATCATTATTATAAGAGCCAAGTATATTTGATATATTCTATATGATAATAATGATATGTGATGTGGTGTGGTGTGTGATGTGATGGTGGTGTAGCGTGGAATGATATATGATGTGATGTGGTGTGGGATGTAATAGTATGGGACTGTCAAATGTTGAGGACATTATATTTTATCGTTTTATTTTTAAGTCTCAGTCTCTAGTGTCAGTAGAATTTGTTTAATTCTGGTGTTTGCTTTTTCACTTCAGCAAGGTTATCGGGCAACCATTGCGTACCTGACGGAGTATGTGACGAAGCAGAACCTAAAAAAACGGAAGGAGAATTTGAAACGACAAACAGAGAAAAGAAAATCACACATAGTTTTCACAGATGAAGAGGTCCAGTCCTTAGACGATGAACTTACAAACAACACTTGGTAGGCCTACATGTTAAACATCCTTTACCAAATACTGTAAATTGTTTATTGTGTATTTCCAGCTTTCTAGCTAATAATTTTATAGATTTCACCTTTTTTCGGTAGCTAATCAACTTATAATACTGTAGTCAGCTTTGGTTTCTTTAGACGAAACTGGTTCCTTATTCAATCATTCTGTTTCTTAAGGCCAACTCAGACAGCGTCATACGACGCAGCCGATTTGCTGACGCGATAGGTCTGCGTCGGACTGCACCCAACGATAAATCTCGTCGGGTTGCGTCGTACGACGCTGTTTTAGTTTGCCTTTAGTATCTAAGTTGATATCTTTTATATTATTGATTATAGCTTATTAATATTACTCCTGCAGAAATACATTATACACGCTTTTGGTTTATCAAAACGGAAAGACGAAGTTTACTCACCGGAGGCGGACGGGACCGACGACTAGAGTGCGAGCCAACTTAAGCACGTATTCACATGACTGGTTTCCTGCAATTAAAGTTACCATCACTATTTTTTTTTTTTTTTTTTTTTTTGAGGTGTCTGATGTGAAAAGTAATTACTTACTTGTTTTATTCACATTTTTTTTAAATGGTCATACAGATATAAGCATACCATGTGTTGTTATATGCCTATCTGACTTGTTGTATTGGTAGTATTAGTTCCGGGAGAAATCAATTGTTTTAAGCTGGGCACTAACTGCGGCGTACGACCGTCTGCCGACAAATCCAACTCCGCACCTTGTGAGTGTTAGACGACGTGACGTCGTCTGCTGAATGTCGGTGGTAGTCTGAACGGATCTTTCCGTTCTGCATAGAGTCACGATTTGCTTGAGAAAGTTAGTTTAGAGAACACAGAAATTTTGTTACTCGGTGACTTGAACATTAGCTATGTTTTATATAAATATCTTTCAGACAATCCCATAAATATGATATGATTATCTTTAATTAAAATATGAGGCAATTAATTTATGACAAAACAAGGAACGTCACATTCTTCAGGTTGCATTGACTTAATACCGGTACTCACCACTATGCCAGACCAACACTCTAAAAGTGGTGTTGCTAAAATTGCTGTTAGTGACCATTTCTTAGTATAGTTGTACTAAATATGATGATAAACAAGTAAGACATAGGACGATCAGTTTTAGAGACTACAAAAACGTTGATATACTAAATTGTTCTTGCATGACATTACTTGCTGTCTAAACCTGCAAAACATACCTAATGACAATGACGTCAATAGTGCTTGGCCTACTCTTTTACAACTATTTTAAACAAACATGCACATACCTGAGTCAAACACAGATATTCCCATTGGATGTCACCTGAAATTTCAAAGCCAATTCAGGGATTATACTAAAAGCAAGTCCTGGATTAAGATCAGAGTATAGAAGGCTTGGTTGTTATAAGATAAAACTAAAGGGCAAAATCCAATTATTTTAACTCTGTAAGTATAATATATAGTAAAAAATTAAAAAAATTATGGAATGAATTAACAAATTAACGAGTAAAAATAATAAAAACACAAATTGCACTAGTATATATTGCAACTGAGTTCAATGATTACTTTACTAATATCGGGAAAAGTGTCATAAACTTTTGATCAAAATTTTCCAAAATGGATGACCTAGCAGATACAAAATAAAAACTTGATCACAGACTTTTACTGGCGAAGAGTTTTTAGGTTATAAATCCCTGGTATTTAATGGATATAGGATGGGTGAAATCACACAGAAAATACCGATTTGTATGACTGATAAATAAAATTACTCTTTTTGTTACGAATATGCCTATAACTTTATGTTTAGTTTGGAGAGCAGGTAACAATGTTTGATTAGGCGTAAACGACGAGAAGCAAACATAAGAATCAAGGTCAATATGATAGAAAAAAAGAATTCCTAGGAAAAAATGCTCAATTCGGGAAACGCTACTTCACACACAGTTACACCCGCACAAAGAAAGGAAGACATTACAATTTTCTATTATAGTTGCAATTTTGCCCTACCGGACGTTGAGATGTACTGAATACTCAGTACGTGTAAAAACAATTGCGAAAAAATCGCAAGTTGTTCTCGGGACTCGAAATTGTGCAAACATTGTAATGAATTCAGTGTCCTAATATTGTAATGTAGTATAATTAAAAATAAAATAGAATTGGTATTTGAAAAAAAAAAAACAAATTAATAAATTTCTGTATTTTACATTAGGTCCATGATAACAAGTTGCTTGAAACTCGGAGATTTTCTTTGGCTCATGACATTAAATTTAAAAATAATCTGGCCCTTCAAATAACTGAAGAACCAGGAATATAAGGTATCTGGGGGGGGGGTTGAAATCAATGAGGCGTTAATTTGGAAAAAGAATGTACAAAGCATTAGCAAAACATATTTGATATAACATCACGATGTTAGGCAAAATGGCAAATGGTTCAAGCAAGTCATTGTTTAAAAAAAAACTGTGTACCATACAACCATTTAATGACTATGCCATGACAGTATGGGAGTACCTCTGAACAATATAAGAATGTTATAAAGGCACCAAAGAGAGCGGCTTGTATCGTAACAAAAAATCTTGAATATATATTAATGTAATGGGTGATGATATATTCAGGCCTTGCCATGGCAAACATTCGAACAAAACAAAATCTGGAAAACCTGTAAATATTAAATTGGCCCAGTCCCTACAATCCTTTAAGACTACAAGTCGCATTTCTTCCAATGAATTTTATCATTCAAATTTCACATTTTATTCTGTAAATAATTAATTATTGTTAACCCGGTTCTCAAGACCACAGTGCAAAACACGTACATAGGCGTAGATCCCGGGGGGGATGGAGGGGATATATCCCCCCCAATATTTGACAAGGGGGGGATGGTCCATTGAATCATCCCCCCCAATATTTTGACTATGTATGGGATAAAATGGATCTTTACACACTTCAAAAGACTGTCACAGAAATAATTTGCACTGTCTTATGCGCTTACAAAGATGATCAAAATTAGCATAATGTATTAAAATTATTTTATCTGGTACCAATCTAAGCTCTACTTTCCTTAGATGTTAGATGTGCTTGCAAAGAGAGCCACATTTCACACTGAAGGGTGTGTACGACATCAGTAATGTTATATCAATTCCAAGAAAGTTTAAAGTTATATCAGTTGATGAGGAATTTATTGATTAGGCCTATAACAGCAAATTTCATCAATTTATTTTGCAAAAACAAGGTTTCCAGCTTAATAATAATAATAATAAATAATAATAATAATAATAATAATATAAAACGTTTTTTGTTTTTTTTAAACGGGAGAAAAAAATTCACAATCAGGTTTTTAGTATGAGAGTACATCCTGTCTCTTATACACATCTAGATGTGTATAAGAGACAGCATTAAAAATTCCATCAAAAACAATGATAATAAAAATGAGATAAAAAAAAAATAAATATAAACAAAAAAATAATATAATTAATAAGCATAAAAAAGGGTTAAACTGTATCGGACTCCGTTGAAATTTTATGCAAGGAATGCAGGGAAGGAATCGATAAGCAAAAATCTTTAATCTCATTTGGAATGTCTCCCCACAGTCGCGGAAATACACGGAGTGATGAAGGCAATTAGAAAAAAAAATATGTGTTGTCCTCTCCCAACGGACCCAATTTTACGAATTTTAGGGTCGGAATTTTAGCTTATCTTCTTTCTGTTCTTCACAACGAACAATATTTTTAATGAGCAAATAAGACTGGAAAATTGTGGTAATTAAGGGGTTTCAAAGGCTTATTTCATCGATTTTAGAGTCTACTAATATGTAGAAAATACATATTTTTTTCTCCTCGGCGAACTGTGCTTTGTCTCCCCGACGGGGGGGGGGAGCTCTCTCTCCCTGCCCCCCTCCACTGGCGCCACCCCTGATATTTGACCTCTGATGTTGAACTGTGTAGCAGGTTTGTGGAGCAGATTGTGGTGGGGTAATTTTTCAAATGCTTTAGAGTAATTTGAGTTCATCATTTTAAAACATTCCATTTTTCAACAGGATATTGCGGTAATATAAAAGTATTGATGACCATTGTACTGTATATATTAGAATAGGCTGATTTGTTTAACAACATTTCCAAAAAATTCCTTTATAATAATGAGTTAACGAAAATTTCAGTGGCTAATTCAACTTCGTTCACTTTATAATAATATTGAATGTTACTGTATCGAATAATGTACAGTAGAACCCCTCCTTTGAGACACCCTTATTCAGGGGACACCCTATTAAGGGGACAATTTTCCCGTGAAACGAGGGGCAACACAGTACATTTTTAACACTACGGCCAACCATTAAGGGGACACCCCTATTAAGGGGACGGGGACACTTTCTGAGTGCGCCAAATGGTCAAATAACCACTATTAAGGGGACACTTATTTTTTTTATCATTGTATCACAACAACTACAGCAGTTTCAAAGTAAGAAAAATTCATTCAACTTCATATTTTAACACCTTTTGAGCAATAAACCAGATTTTCTCCCCTGAATTCTTAGAGTAAACGTCAGTATAGGCCTACTGAATGTGTTGCTTCATATGAACTAATCCTGTCAATAATTTTGACCCTTAATCATGGGGAATTCGTTTACTTTTTTTGTGTACTTTCATACGGATTCTAATACATACCTACCATAACATGCACATTAATTCTAAGTCGTTACTCTATTCGTGTTAAATTCATCCAAAAGGAAGCTCAATATTTTAAATACAAAAAGGAGTGTTTGGTCATTAACATTGCATTCATGAAATAATATTGGAAACATTTTATTATAATTATTATTTTATTATTCATATCATTTATACAGCACCTTTTCTTTGTAGCACAAAGCGCTTCTTTTCCCCTGGTCATTAGGTCCTCATGTTTTGAGTGTTGCAGTTGGTGAACATCGCAGGAGTAGGCAACCCCACCAGGTACCTACGAGCCCGACATAAAATGTGACTACAGGAGAAGCAATGCAGATAAAGTGCCTTGCTCAAGGACACAAGAAAAATGTACAGTAGAGGTTTGGGAACCAGGCCTACCGTTCCCGCTGCACCAAACCGCTTCTCTACAACATATCAAACTACAGTATTGTTGTACATTTGTGTCGATTTCATATTATAAATGAATTGTATTTGCATATCAAATTGTTGCTATAAATTAGTTCTAATTCTACTTAGCTGATTCTTATGTCAATAAAAATAAAATTATACAGAATATATATGTCATTGTTGTATGAAACATGCCAAAAACCCTTATTAAGGGGACAATTTCGCGTTTTTGTTAAGTGTCCCCTGAACAGGGGTACCCTTATTAAGGGGACACCCCTATTAAAGGGACATTTTTTTTAGTTCCGAATGTGTCCCCTTAATAGGGGTTATACTGTATAACAGATTCTGTGATTTGTGAACCATAGGCCACACAGTTTTGATTATCATGGTGATAGACTGTAGGTTCGAATCCCACTAGTTCGGTAAAACTAAGTTTTTTTGATGTGTGTGGTTTTTGACAACGTGTGTGGGTATATTATCGGTATGTGTGTATGTGGTTTTGCAAAGGTATTATAGCCGAAAAGTGTTAAAAGAACATAAAACAATGGGTCCGCGTCACATTTTCAAAGTAATTATTTTTAGATTAACCATAAAGGATTAACTGAGCTTAATGTCTACAAATTATCAAGAATAGAGAAATAATAATAATAATAATAATAATAATAATAATAATAATAATAATAATAATAATAATTCTGGATTTATATAGCGCCTCACGTTGACACAACCTCGAGGCGCTTAGGCTATGTTCACACACACGGCGTAAGGCTGGCTTAAGCCTGGCGTAGCGTACGCCTTTGTGTGTGAACTAGGCAGTGGCGTTGTTAAAGCCACTCACTACGCCACGTCCTTGGCGTTATTAACGCTACCTGCA